TATTGGTTAATTTCATGATTGACATTTACTTCCATTTTTTTGGTTTGTATAAATGGAAATTTTTACTCAGTTTTTGGATAGAACGCCATTCACTTTAGTCCCGGCAAATCAAGATCCAGGATGAACTAGTCATTTGAAAGAGATTCTTTTTCTATAGCAATTAGGATATTTGTAGGAAACAATAACTGTCCTAATGATCAATTTTAGAAATAATTTTCTTGATGACTAGATTCCTAACTTAGTGGGTGTTTGGTGCAGCTGGTCGGAAGACCTTTTGAAATCCAAAAGGTCCAGCTGCACCAAACACCCTAACTTTTGAGATGAGCTTCAGCTCCCGAGAAGCAAAAGTTAGCTTCCACCTTTTGAAAATTGAGGAGCAAGGAATTTGAAGCTTTTGCAAGAGCTTCCAGCTTCCAATTAATGAAATTGACATGCTATACCTATTTTACCCTTATATCTTAATAAATTTACGACTAAAACCACTATATATACCTCTTCATTTATAATCCAAACCCATTTTCTCCTTATCTGCCGATTTCTTATACCTCCTCATTTATAACCCAAGCCCTTTTTTTTCCTTCTCCATCTCCCGATTTCCTCTGTTCCAGACCATTTACCGTTGCTTCCATCTCCTTCTTTCAATCTCTTTTCTTCTTCATTCTCACCCAAAAAGTACTTCTGCTTTGCTTATCCTGATCTTGCTGCTATATTGAAGCCCAATTTCTGACATCAATCCTAGATCTAGTGGTGTGCTCAGACCCAATCGGTAAGTATCTCCTTCTTTGGGTCTTTTTTTCTTCTTCATTCTCACCCAATTGGAACGATTTACCTTATCCTGATCTTTCTGGTCTATTGAAGCTCAGTTTTCTGACATCAAATCCCAGATCCAGTGTTGTGCATCAATCTCTAACCGGTAAGCTTCCAGATCGAGTGGTGTGATTCCAAAATGATGACAATCTCCCTCTTTTATTAATTTATTTAATTCTGCGTATGATGTTAGAAATGTTAAAATAAATGTGGTAGATTATTTGGAGGAAGAGGAGTGCTAGGGGCCACATTAAACCCCCAAGCAAGATTGGCGTCCTTCAATTTTATCTTTGTTTTTGTTTTTGATCGGCTGAATTTTCAGATTGCATCTCCAATCATGTTGTCCCTCTGTTTCTAACTTTCTTTCCATCAAAATATCTAGATAACTCTGTCTTTCCCTGTAATTTTCCATTCCTGCAGAAGTTTTATATTAAATTCATTAATTTTAGATTATATATTCTTATTTAACTTTGAGAAAAAAAAATAATTTTATTCATCATTGTGTTTGTTTTATAAATTTCGTAAGGTACAAGGTTTTATAGAATCTGTTGAAAAACATATAAAGAAAAAGGTTAGACTAAGGTTTACCATACCAGGATATTATATATTGGAGAAGTACCTTGAAATGATTAATTATTTTGTTGGTGGACCATTTTCCATTAGGTTAATAAGTGGTTTTGGACAATGCCATTCTGGTTGTTGATGATGAGCGCATTTTCTGGATTCTTTGGACTTCCACATCAATGATTGCTTCTTATTTTTTGCTTTCTTCTTTTGGCTGCTATATGCTACTTTGTCTTGTGAATGATAACTATAATAATGAGTGCTTTATAGCTTAACACAACCCCACCAAGTACATTTGATGCATAATTGATTTGATGACTAATATATCAAACTTGAACTGTCTAAAAAATCTGTGATTTTTGCCAAGAAAATGGGAATTGTCTCAAGGACACGTGGAAAAAGGAAATTAACTGTTTATTAATGCTCTGCTTTAATTTCTTGGGAATTTTTATTTGTTTAGAGAAAAATTTTTATTATTGTCACCTGCAGACTGCAATTTGATTGTTTTTCTATATAGTGTAGTCTTATTTTCGTTTTTATTTGTTCTTATATTGCCACCTTCTAAGTATGTGTTAAGATTGTTAATGTTACTATTATTAATATTGTCAAGTTTATATTTTTCTAACGCCTGAATATATAATGTTATAATATCCCGAGTAACGTTCCTCAATTCTTTTTCGTATAATGCTATAATATCCTAGTCTTGGCCTTAACTTTGATGCATGTAGTTGTGTGATCCCAACCCCTTTTTTTTCAGTAAATTCTATTCTTTCTGATGGACTGATACATCATCTGAGAGATGCACAAGCTGACTTTTCTTGTTCTGATGCATTTTCTCAGGAAATTTGAATATGAAATGATAATGCGATTGTGGGAAGTCTTATGGACACATTATCTGTCAGAGCATCTGCACCTGTATGTGTGTTGCAATTTTGAAGCGCCATCGCAGCAAGATAATGGGAGAGCAAATGGACTTCGACACCCTTTTTAAATTCATTAATGAGTTGAGCGATCATATTGACCTGGATGCAATCCTCCGGGATGCAGAAGCTTTGTGCATATGTGCTGGAGAGAATGGCGCTGCATGCATACCACCTGGAACTCCACCTTCATTGCCTGTTGATAATGGTTCATTATATCCTCAACCAAATGATGTATTGTAAATACATGATTGTGCCCTTTTTTCTACAGTAATCTGTGAAAGAAATTGTATTGAGTTCTCATGACTTGGTTGTTCTGCAAGTCTTGAATATTTCAAAGTCTGTAAAAATAAATTTTAGCCCTTCCTATAAGATGGTCCATTATGCATAGCAATTGTCTATTTGCTGGTTTGCCGTTTACTGTGTTTGATTTTTCTTGATACTAACTTACTAGGCATTTCATTACTAGTTAATAAATATAAAAATTCCATTTGTTAACATCAATTTTAACATAATTAAATTAAAAATGAATTGAAGTTCTATAAAAATGGCAAAAAAAAAAGAAAGAGAAACAATGCTCTTTTAAAGAAAATATTTTTTTTATTTTTAATGAAAAGTCAGTTAAGATAATTATTATTATCAATTTTTATGTTTATTATCTAATTTATAAAATTTAAATGTAGTATGTCATTTTTTTTACAGTAAAATATAAGTATTTATTTCTCTATTAATATTAAAAA